GTTTAATATGTGAATAACTCACATATTATTCATTGTTTCAATTATCATAAACTAGGTTGCTCTTGTTGAGCGGTACTTAATAAAGTGATTTTGGAACCGAACCTATATCTACATATTTAAGCCTATTAATAAAACATATAGCGCCTCTCTCGGAAATACTCTTTTAGATTTAATAAGGTGACTCTTTAATACAACTTAAGATTGTGACTGTGATTGTTAACTCGTTCCTTGAATGTACAATTCACCTATATTTTATAAGTCCTAATCTTTTAATATAAAATAAGTTACCGTGTCATTCTGAGCTTTGTATTTTCTTATTTTATATATACAGGAGAACCTCCATGATAGAACACCTCTCTACAAAGGATCGTTTTCATTTGCAAGATTACCATTTTTATTATTTTGAAACTCTCTGGTAAGAGGACACCTCTCCCTAAAGGACACTTTGTATCTGTAATTAGGTGTGCTTTAAAGAAAGGTTCTATTGTACGTTTTAATATTATTTAAAATAAGGTTTAAAAAAAAGGTAGAGAAGATTCGAAATTATATTTGCAAAGAAGTACGCGAAGATGTTAATGCAGCAAAATGGAAAGAGAAGCGAGAAACAAATGTTGAAAATAAAGAGTTTAAAGATTGTTCGATAAAAAAATTGCTGAAAAAAAATGAAAATGGAAAACAAAGAACTGGGCACAAAGATTGCTAATTAATTTTAAGACAGAAAACAGAGAACTGTAGTATAATTCAGTAATTATTGAATTTATTCATCATTGCATTATAAAGCTATGACATACGATCTCCTAATTATGTAATGGAAAACTTTAGTAGCGTTAGGTAATAATATTTTTATGTTGGCACATTTTTAGGTTAAATATTCTTAATATTTCCCTTATCGCGCGCGCATATGTGATGTGTAGAAGTTCTTTACTTTATTATTTAAGGTCTAGATATAAATTTGTAATAAGTACTGGATGTCATTCTAGACCCGTTCATCAAACGGGTTACTGATATAGTAATTTATTTATTTAGGTAACCCTCAGGTTCCTGGAGCGTACAAATGTTATAGTGATTCAATAAAAAAGGAGTTCTAAATAATTGCATTGTCATCGCGAATGAGCAAGTTGAAATAAAATCTTCAATTTTAAATTTATCTACACATTAAAAAAAAAACACTTTTATATGACTTTTTATTTGAGTAAAAAAAAAACACGACTAAAGAATTATAACTCACTAGCCGAATGACCCAGGCAACGCCCAGGTTTTACCCGATTGAATGTTTTTTATGCAAATACTATTCCTTGAAAATAAAGATACTTCGGCCAGAGTAAATCTTTTTATTACCTCGACGTTTCGACAAAAATCTTTGACAAAAATATTTTTGTCGAAACGTCGAGGTAATAAAAAGATTTACTGGCCGAAGTATCTTTATTTTCAAGAAATAAGATTGCCGGCCAGGCAGCCTCAATATTTACGACAAATACTATTCGTTACAATTATAAATTGGCGCCGTGGATGCCACTCTTGTGAAACGTCCCGCTCTAAACTTTGTGTCAGAGAAGCGATATTTTTATAAAGAGATGATCTGGTTTTGTGTCTTCTGCTCGAATGAATGTTTTTCTGTTAGAATTTTGTTCCTGCACACTAAAATTGAACTGGCTTCACCCGTGGTCTCAGCTTTCTGGAATTTTTCCCGATATAATTTTGTATTTGATAATCAAACATGATACAGCAATATTGTCATCATCAGTTTCAGACTAAAAAAACAACTATTTTTGCCCAGAACCTGTCAATTTTATTTTATATTGGCTAAAAATACGATAAATATATTTTCCAGATTTTTCTCTATGTCCTGTCAAAACACGTTTTACATGTACATTAGGTCAGCTGATATTACCTCCCATCTTCACCGCTAGAGGCGCTGCTTGCGAGCGAAAAGGCAAATAACTCGAAGAATATTCGGGATAGAGAACTGCAATTTTCACTATAAGTTTTTCCAGATTCTAATCTATATATTGTTAAAATTTCAGTCAGATTAGTTACGTATTGTAACGTGTATAGCCGACATAGATACACACATACATACATACACTGACTTTTATATATATAGGGATAAATTAAACTTCATCCAGAACGTTGATAGAGTTTGGCTTGTATTTTTTGAGAAGTATTTTTTATGTGGAAACTTTGATAAAACTTATTGATTCACCCTCGTAGAAGCATGATTGAAATATTTATATAGAACTAGCGGATGTACCCGGTTTCGCCCGAGGTTTTTACCCGAGTAAAGGTTTGTCTAACGAACATTTGTTAAAACAATTTTCTATAAACTTATAAAAAAAAAGATATATTTTGATAATTTGAACTCGTAAATTTGAATCTCTCGATAAAGTGAACATTTTTCCCCGGTCCCTTGAAAAATACTCGATAAGTTGAATAAAATCAATTTTAATTGGTTCCCTCGGTAATTGGAAGTTAAAGGAATAGTATCTTGCCTTGGAATTGTATCATTATTCTTTTCTCAAATAAATTGCCGTGTCATCCTGAATTTTGTCTTTCCTAATTTTCTACATTACAAAATCATCGTATCATCATGATAATATATAGAGAAGATTGTTGAATTATAACAGATAAATTAGAATATTTATCTTGATTATTTCTAGGCGAAAAGTTATTTCAAAATTTTTTTGCTAGAAACCTTCCCAATACTATAATAAATAACTTCCCAAAGTTTCATGGCGTTCCAATGAGTGGTTCGGTCAGGCATAAAGGACAGACAGACACACACACATACATTCATTTTTATATATATAGATTAGACATACCCTGGGTTGCTGGAGCGTCAAAGGCCAGCTACCCAAGATGTAAAATTTTCTAGTCACGGTAGTTCTGATCCATTTAACTAAGAAGTTCCATGCTGGCAGAGAGTCTGGGAGTTGTCAATAATGCAGGATCGACCTGGGCTAGTCCAAGTAAAAGTGTCTCAAAAGTTCGTAAACATATTGTGATAATGATTTATATTTTGCAGGTGTTTACGAACTTTTGGGACAACCTTGGCAATATTGGTAACCTTGGTAAATTTTAATGAAATTCTTATAGAAGAATGATTTAATCTCTGATGTTTTATATCAAGGGTGGTCAATAAGCAACTTGGCCAAGTTTTAGAATTACAAGGTTGTCCCAAAAGTTCGTAAACGCTTACAAAATATAAAGCATCATCGTCATATGCTTACGATAGGCATTCTATGCCTAAAACAAAACTGGAGATGATTTACTGTCTATGATTCCTCAGACAATAAGGACAAATTGGATCCGTTTCAGGATGCCAGAGAGCAAGATCTTCCGGGAAATGTACGTGGACTGTTGTGGTGATTGCTCCGTTACTAATCTTGGAGAGAATTTTGACAGATGGCTTGGAGTGGATGAAATTTTCCTGAGATCTGTTCGAGTAGTTTCTGAGTATATACATCCATCTAGGTCGTAAATAATTGATTTTTACTCTAGGTAGGATGTCTAGGAGCCTGGCAGGGCTGATTTAATCGGACTCGGCCGAGTAATGTCTAAAAAAGGGCGGAGGCTGATTCAAGACTTATGTTGGAGCTCTGTTGGAGCTCTAGATCGTAAATTATTTTTCGTCCTATTTTGTCCATGATGGCCATTTAAAGCCATGGACAATGGCCTCAAAAATAAGTACAAATCCCAACGGTTTTCGACTCCAGCGCTATATTTATATAGATAGAAGGTAAAATATGCGGCCATTATTCCCTGTAGGGGAAGCTGGGTGAAAAATTTCCAGCTCTAGAGATCACAGGATTCTATTATGAGAGCAAAGAAACGAACAGGCCGTAGATAAAATTGAAATCAATTTATTCTTTTTGCCAACGCGCGCTTTGCGTTCTCGGCGGGCCGGAGCACGCGCGCCCGCTTCACGGCTCTCTTTCACTGTTGGAAATATGTATTATTGAGATATATATTAGCAAAAAATACTATTTTAATTATAATTTGTGATTGATTACTATTTTTATTTGCGTATACATAGTTTTGTGGCGGCGTCATAAGTCTGGAAAGGTCGCAAAGAACGTCGTTGGGGTGATCAACCAATCGGAGAGAGCGCGTGCCTAACGGCGATATTTGTGTTTACTGGAGATTAGATTGATTCTTGTTGCTTAATTAATTTTATTTCTGTAATATGTTAAATTAATTTAACAGAAACTCTTATAGATTCCTTCTAGTTAGTTAGTCTTTTTACTCAGCTCTGACTTAATAATTTCTTATAAACAAACCCTCTGATCAGTTATATAAGAATTAGACGAATGGCCCGGGCAACGCCCGGGTTTTACCCGAGTGCGTATATATTTTAAAAAAGTTTTAATTCAAATACTATTCGTTACAATTATAAATTGGCGCCATGGATGTCACTCTTGTGAAACGTCCCGTTCCAAACTGTGTGTTTTTAAAATGTTTTAATTAAAATACTATTCGTTACAATTATAAATTGGCGCCGTGGATGTCTCTCTTGTGAAACGTCCCGCCCCAAACTGTGTGTGTCTTGAAAATATAAAAATAAAAATGTGAATTTTCATAAAGATTTCATCATGTCGATTTTTTTTTTTTTTTGCATTTCACCTACTAAATCGATAGAGATAATTACATTTGCAACATGAACTTAGGTATATTGACTAAATAGAAAACTGCATAGTAATAAAGATAATTTTTTAAAGGCACCATATCGTTTTTTTTTTCATAAAATCGAAACAGAAATTAACGATAAATAACGATAATTGCCTTAAAAAGAAATTGCCTTAAAAAAAGAAACATTCGCGGTGATTTTGTCTTGCATTCGTTTATACAATTATTATATACGAATGACCCGGGCAACGCCCGGGTTTTACCCGATTAAATGCTTTTATTCAAATACTATTCGTTACAATTATAAATTGGCGCCGTGGATGTCATTCTTGTATAATATATAAATGAGTTTTAAAAATTGTAAAGAAAAAAAAAAATGCATCGGCGGGGAATCGAACCCGGGGCCGCCCGCGTGGCAGGCGAGCATTCTACCACTGAACCACCGATGGTTATGAAAAATCTCATCCGTGAGCTTCAGACAGACAAACAGACAGAATAAGGCAAATATATAAGTAGATTATATACGAATGACCCGGGCAACGCCCGGGTTTTACCCGATTAAATGCTTTTATTCAATACTATTCGTTACAATTATAAATTGGCGCCGTGGATGTCATTCTTGTATAATATATAAATGAGTTTTAAAAATTGTAAAAAAAAAAAAAAAAATGCATCGGCCGGGAATCGAACCCGGGCCGCCCGCGTGGCAGGCGAGCATTCTATACCACTGAACCACCGATGGTGATGAAAAATCCCATCCGTGAGCTTCAGACAGACAAGCAGACAGAATAAGGCAAATATATAATAAGAATAGCAAGATTTTAAAATATTATAGGCTTCCGGTATTAGGTTTCTGTACAGTGGCTCACAATGCCTTATCTGATACTTAATTCTCATTAAATATTCAAAACGGGAACCATTTACCCACTCGCCAAGTTGAAGACTAACCGGTGGATAATCTCCCCATCTCACGTCCAGTCTTTAATACCAGATATTCCAAACCATCCATAATGGAATCACTAACCTGAACCTGGCATCTCTGGAGAATCATGTAAGTAATAAATCTATTCAATAGAAGTTTATGGATTGAGTTAGCCTCCACCGACACTTACAAAAAATACTGATTATACAAAGAAGAATTTATTCTGAAGGACCCTGCATGGGTAGTTGATGAAATATGTACATATATATATATATATATTGTACTATTAATTATTAAAAATTCACATTTTGACTCTTTAAATATAGACAAGAGCCTAACAAATCGTTTGCCAAAATTCTGCTGTCTCTCTTCTCTCTCTTTACCATTTTTCACTTTGACATTGTATTGACAAGATGTCAATAAAGTATGTGAATTGTCTCTCTCTTTACATCAGAGAATTGTTTAAGATGCAATAAAATGAAAATTTCCTGAATTTTAAATGAAAAAGTGTGTGAAACGCGCACGCGCCTCTATATTTTAGCGCTATATAATTTTTTTTTTCAATTTAATTTCGTTAAAAAATTTTCATATTTATTTAATTCAACGATTTAAAAAATGAATATAAATATATATTATGCTACATTGGTATGTAAAATTGTTCTCTATCTTGCCTTATCTAATTGAAAACAAAAATATATTTCAACGTGACATTTACTTGAAGCAGCAATGGTATTACGCAGCAGTAGCAGCAATAATAGCCGTCAAGAGGAAGGCGAGTTCAAGTCGAGCAAATGTATCGGAGTGTTCGGGCTCGACAGACGCACAACTGAGAATGCCCTGGAAGATTTCTTCTCTCAATACGGCCGTATAGCCAAGACCTGCCTCATCCGCGATAAGTACAATGAATCCAGATGTTTTGGTTTTGTCACCTATGAAGATTCCGAATCTGCCAGACTAGCCGTGGAGAAAGCACAAGAACAGCTCCTGGATGGCAGACCGATCCGCGTCGATTTCTCCCAGACCAATGGCCCTCACAACCCCACACCTGGCCAGTACCTCGGTCGTTCTCACCATATTGGCCATCAGCCAAGGTACCAGCCTGAAGAATCCTATTACAGGGAGAGACGCTACAGGGATCAGGAGTATTATCCTAAGAGAAACCATTACAGAAACGATCGCTACAGAGAGGATTACGGAAGATTCAGAAATGAAGCTTACCATCCCAGAACAAGACCTCAACCAAGAAGACAAAGGTTCGAGGAAGACTACTACCCCGAAGATGATCATTACGAAGGAGGCGCAGTCTACCGCCCAAGAAGACCCTACATCAGAAACGAACAACCTTATTACCATCCTCGCGGACCAAGAGGCTACAGACATCACTACTGAACAAACCAGAACAAGAGTGTCAATATGAGAAAATTGTCAAAGATAATAAATAATATTAAAATTTTTATGATGCTTGAAAATTTTTTATGAAGTTTATTTTAATATACTTTTTAACAGAATTATACGAAGTTTGATACCAAATGCCAAGAACAAAGAAATATACAACATAACGGACATCTGCGACATGAAGTGCCGAGTCGAGGACTACAGAGCTTCCAAAGGTCCAGGCCAATGTCATAGATGTCAAAATTTGGACATTTAAAGTTTGAATGCAGAGAAAGCCCTAAATTTGTCAAGTGCAGAGAGAGCCACTTCACCTCCGAATGCACAAAACAAAAATAAATTCTATCGAAATGCGAAACTGCCAGGAGCAGCACACTGGCGTGACTGCCCACTTTACAAAAAAAAATCAATAAAGATATCCCCAGTCAAAAGAACCCCCACTCAAATGCATAGAAAGAACCATCCAAGGCACCCATTATTTCAAAATTATCTTAAACCACAGAAAACCTGTGCAAAACAAAGTTAAAATTTATAAAAAAGAAAAAGGCATCTCCTTATCGTGAAATTGAAAGTTTATAAAGATACTAGCGGATGTACCCGGCTTCGCCCGGGTTTTACCCAAGTAAAGGTTTGTCTAACGAACATTTGTTAAAACAATTCTCTATAAACTTATAAAAAATAATAGATATATTTTTGATAATTTGAAACTCGTAAATTGAATCTCTCGACAAAAGTGAACATTTTTTCCTGGTCCCTTGAAAAATACTCGATAAGTTGAATAAAGTTCCAAATAACTTTATTAGGTGCCGCTCAAAAAGAGCAACCTAGATCATCATATTTACAATATACTGAGGGGGGTGGTTATGTAGAGGGGTTCATTCACAATTATAATTTATAATGATGTCGTTGGGTCCGGATTCTCAGGTCCTTGGGGATATTTTTTCTTGAGAAGGTTTTTTTCTGGGCTTGTTTGATATTCAAGGTGGGTTTGTTTTTCCTTTTTTTCCACTTTTCGTCATTCTGGCTTAATTGATGGAGAATTTGTCTAGGTTTTAAATTTCTTATTTTCCTTTTTCCGCATTTGTAGTTTTGTGGCTTCCTTAAAGGTGATATTTTCTAATTTTTCGGATTTTTCTTAAAATTTAAATGATTGTCTAATGATGTAGTCATTGATGTTTTCGATATTTAGATCGTTCCTGAGGATTGTGTTCCGAACGAACCAGGGTGGAGACATGATTTTTCTAATCATTTTATTTTTAAAGACTTCTAGCTTTTAAGGATGGTCTTATGTACTGTCATAAAAATTGGGTGGCCGTATATGAGTATTGGTCTTATTATTAACGTGTAAATGGTTCTTTTGCAATAAAGGGATAATTTGCTTTTCGGTCCTAGAAGTAGGGATAGAGGGTGTTGGGCAGCTTTCGCCAAATTAATTCTGTTTTCGATGTGTTTTTTGAAGGTTAGGTGCTCGTCCTAGGGTCATCCCTAGGTATCGGATGTTCTCTTTCCATTTAATATTGTCTTCGAAGACGAAAAGTTCGTCTAAAGGTTTTTTAATTTTGTCTTTTTTTCTGGAGTAAATTATTGCTTCACTTTTTTGGGGGTTCATTGTGACTCGCCATTCCTTACACCAGAGCGTGGAAAAGATGCAGGCCTCTTGGAGTTTCATGTGGAGTCTGTCGAAGTCATATGTTGAGGCTAAAATGGCGGTATCATCGGCAAATAGGTGTAAAGAGGTGTCTTCAATACAGGGGAAGTCGTCTATTTATATGTCAAATAAGGTTGGTCCTGTGACTGATCCTTGGGGGGACCCGGCAAGGATGTTCCTAGCTGTTGAAAGTTCATTTTTGACTCGTACCTTGAATGTTCTATGTGTTAAGAAGTTTTGCGTTATTTTTTATGATATCTCCAGGAAGGTGCTTTTTGCACATTTTGTAGAGAAGGGCTTCGTGCCAGACTTTATCGAATGCTTTGGCGATATCGAAGAATACGGCTCCTGTTATTTGGCCTAGGTCCATGGCTTTTCTTATTTTTTCAGTGACAACAACTAGCTGGTGCAATGTTGAGTGTTTGGCTTGTTAGCCAAATTGTTCAGGTCTGAGTGGATTCTTTTCTTCGAGGGATTTTCTGAGTCTTCTTAAAACAATTCTTTCGAATAGTTTTGAGATGGCAGGTAGCAGTGAGATGGGCCTGTAGCTTGTTGGTTCATGCATGGATTTTCCTTTTTTAAGTATGGGACAGATAATGGACGTTTTCCATCTGTAAGGGAAGTGGGCAAGCTGCAGTGAGGCGTTAAATATTTCGGGTATTGATGCTAGTATATGATTAGGGAGGCCGTTTGAGAGCTTCATTAGGCAATTCGTCGATTCCGGGAGCTTTTTTATTTGGGTAGATGTTCAATAATCGATTTTATTTCACCAATGTTTGTTGGTTCTAGTCCTGTTTCTTTATTTTTTTCATGTATGAATTCACACGTTTGATGTATGTACGAGTAGGTTTGGAGTGGGGTATAGGGATTGGGGGGTGAACTGTTTTTCATAGTTGTTGGCAAATGATTCAGCTGCTTCTTCTGTGGTTAGAGTCTGCCCATTGTTTGTCTTCAGTGTTATTTCTTGTTTTTTCAGAGTTGGATAATCGTTTGATGGCTTTCCATATGGTTTGGTCCGTGACTTTCAAGTTTTCGATAAAGTGGTCCCAGCTGGTGTTATCGTGCTCTCCTGTAAGTTTCTGTGATTCTCTCCGGGCTGTCATGTAGGCTGATTTATCTCGGGGGTCGCAAGTATTTTTCTTTTTTTTTTCTTAGTCTGTTGGTGGATCGTATTTTTTCTTTAATGTGAGGTGGATATCTTCATTCTAGTTCTGGGTCCTTATATTTTGTTGAATCTTTCAAATTTTGCAACCATTTGTTCTTCAATGTGTGTAATGGCCTCGTCTATTTTTGAAGATGTATCTAGGATCAAATCAGGAGGTTCAGCGATTTCCATTTTGGTACTTGAATAGGGCCCAATCTGTAATTTTTATTTTTGTATTTGAGTAGGAGATTTTGAAATCCTGTAGCAGAAGTAGTACTGGGAGATGATCAGAGGTTAGTTCGTGCAGGACTTTAGAGTATGCGCTTTGGGAGATGTTTTTGTG